GGTTGGGCATTCTTTTTTTAAAAAATTTTTTTCCTTTACTGATTTTAGAGAGAAGGGGATAGGGTGAGAGAGAGAAACATCGATGAGAGGGAAGATCGATTGGCCGCCTCCTGCATGCCCCCGATGGGATCGGGCCCGTAACGTGGGCATGTGCCCTGACTGGGAATCGAACTGGCAACCTCTTGGTGCATGGGTCGATGCTCAACCACTGGGCCACATAAGCCGGGCATGGTTAGGCATTCTCCCATGTACTGAAAGGCTGCTGGTTCGATTCGGGGTCTCTACATAATGCCTGGGTTTCAGGCTCAGTCCCCGGTAGGGGGCATGCAAGAGGCAATCAACGTTTTGCTCACATAGATGTTTCTCTCTTTCAAAATCAATAAAATATCTTTAAAAAAAGACAAAACAGACCAGTGCCCGGCAGATGGTAACTGCCAAATAAAGGATAGTGCTTCTACCAGTATTTTAAAAAAACATACATTATTATTGGTTTTAGAGAGAAAGAAAAGGAGAGGGAGAGAAACAGAGATCGGCTGCCTTCTGCACTCCCCCTACCGGGAATCGAGCCTGCAAGCAGGATTGTCCTGACAGGGAATGGAACCACTGACCTTTTGGTGCAAGGGAGTCAACCAACTGAGCCACACCAGCCAGGGCTACCAGTATTTCTTTAAAAGAAAAAGGGAAATGAAAGAAAAACAGGCCAATCACCTTCATCTAAAAGTCTAAAAAACTGTCCAGATTTGTCTTTCCCTTTTCTCCAATGATATGGCCCATATACCTTGTGATATGGTATAATGCAATGGTTTTTATTCTGTTTTATGACTTCCTACCTAGATAACCTCAAGGACTAGGTCATGGTTCTTGAACCTGAGCCTTAGTTTTATCATCTGTTAAAACAAGAAAAAAACATCTTCACACAAATGAAATAGCTATGGTAAAAAAACATGGCATACAATTTTTGTTTAACAGTCTTTTTACATTAAATTCTTTTGAGCTAGCTTAGATTCAATGAAATTAGAAGGCAGAAGGTCAAAGAAGTCAACTTTTAGAGTTTCCTTTCAATGTAAAATCAGATGAAACTTCATTCCTTTTGTAGAATGGAAGACTACTATACTTATATCCATCCAGGCAGGCTTGACTGGAGTTCTCTGCTTAGGATCTCACAAAACCAAAGTCAAGTTGTTGACCTGGCTGGCTCTTATCTAGAGGTTCTGAAAAAGAATCTACTTCCAAGCTCATTCAGGCTGTCGGCAGAATTCAGTTTCTTATAGGACTGAGGTCCTCATTTCCTTGCTGGCTGATAGTTAGGGGGTCAATTTTAGCTTTTAGAGGCCAATTTCCAGTCTTTGCATATGGTCCTCTTCATCTTTTTTTTTTTTTATCACCCAAGGATATTTTCCCACCTATTATCAGATAGAGAGGGAGAGAGAGAGACAGAAACATCAATGTGATAGAGCCACATCAACTGGTTGCCTCCCACACAAACCAACCAGGGCCAGGGATGAACCGCAACCGAGGTACGTGCCCTTGACCGGAATCGAACTCGAGACTCATTGGTCCGCGGGCCAATGCTCTAACTGCTGAGCCAAACTGGCCAGGGCTGGTCCTCTCCATCTTTAAAGACTGCAATGGCACGTCCAATCCTTCCTTCACATCTCTCTGATTTCTCCTGCCACCTATGAAAGTTCTTTGCTTTTAAGGGCTCATGTGATTAGAACAGGCCCACAGAGACGATCTGCCTCTTAGTCAACTGTGCCATGTTATGGAACATAACCATAAGCATGATGTCCAATCAAATTCACAGGTTCTGGGGTTTAGAACAGGACATTTTAAGAGGTCATTAAAAAAATTCTGCCTACTATAGCACTTACTCAAAAAATGAGAGAAAATGATCTCTTTTGTGTGTGTGGGGAGGAAGGGGGAGATATTGGGAATAAACTATGTCTATTAAAAGAAGCCAAGCATTTAAGATGAGAGAGGCCTGGCCTCATCCCTGGTATTCTATCCATCATATCCTTTGCCATTTCTAAAGTGGCTGCTTTGATCACAATGTACTAGCAGTCAATGTCTTGAGGTAAATGTTAAAAAATAAAGACACTTTTAAGGAATGCCAGGAGAGTGAAAAACCTTCCCATGTTTTAGTTTTTCTTCATCAGTCAGAACACCAAGTGTCCCATAGTGTGTCCTAAGAATACATATTGGAAGATGTATGGTATTTTTAGATATGGCTCAATAAAGACAAAATTTCATTACCCAAAACTTGGAGGACTAGAACAATACTCTCTATTCACCAGTGTGATGCTACTCCTTTCTTTTCCTATTTCGTAATTCAACTAGAATGCTCCTTCATCTCCTTTCTCTTGAATGGAGTTAAGAAGGCAGAGCAGCCTCTAGGTTCCTGAATACCAACTTAAGCTAAATCAACAGTGTTGTTTCCTTAAACATCTCTCTCATCCTGATGTCCTGAGGCTTCAAACTAATAAATCAAGATAATAATTTCTTATCCCAGGAACTATTTGTGTGCAATAGTGTTACCTTAAGTTATTTGGAAGAATGGTGCCATCAAAGTTTAATTATATTGATTATAATTTGCTTTCTCATTTTTCATGGAGTTCAGAGCATATTATGGGCATTTTCTATACAGTTTATAGCTATTATGGTTATCACAGAAAAAGGAATAACCACCCCAAATTTATAAAGCCTGTCTATAAAGTATCTGGGATTCTGAAGGAGCAAAGCTTACCTCCCTCTTACTCCTCAGTTTCAAGAGTCAGTTGTGTTTCAGTACCAGGGAAGGAATGTTCATAAGTTTGTGCCATCCTAATCGAAAATCATCTAAATGCTGAACAGCAATGAGGAACCCTGTTCCAGCCTCCCTTTCAGGATGGATTTATTAGTCTTAGAAAAGTTACTGATTAGTGATCTAAGTGAGATTAGAACTAATATATCCTGATTTTAAATTATGTGCTCTAACTACAAGGACAGGTAGAAAGCTTTCATTCCACAATGTTATCCATATTGGAAAAATCTTCAGCAAATTTGCTCTTGAACCCACTCTACTAAAACATAGCTCTCCTCTACCCCAAATTGTTGGCAACTTTGATCGCCATTATTTCTTGAAGCCTGAAAGAGGATCCAATTTGCCTTGACTCCTCTTGAAAAAATTTGCTTCCCAACTTCTTGCAGTACCATCTTATCATTCACTTCAGAGAGAACAAAAACACGTCATCCACAAAGCTGTGCTTTCTCCAAGCACCTAAATTGTTAAGGGGTTAGCTAGATTCAATCCCAAAGAATGGGTCAAGAAAATATTACTCTGAACTGATGACTTGGGAAGGGGATGGGCAACGGAGGCTCCTACCAGAGGTTCAAACTCAGGTAACCAAAACAAAAGGGCTATTCCTCATCTCCAAATATGTAGATATCTTTCACATACTCTTGGCTGGAGATGTTCTTATGAGGTCCACTTTGAGCCCCACAGCCCAGAACAATTATTGGGGATAGTATATCAATCTAAAAGCCAAATGTAGATAGGATTCCTATCAACCCCTGATCATAATAGTAGAAGGGCAAGGGTGAATGATTTGGGATGACCTGTTAACTGAGCATCCATGTACCCTGGGGTCAAGTCTCTGCCCTGGGTTTTAATTTTATAGTCATTGATTGAACCAAAAGAAAATACATTGTAGTCATCTACATTATCATTTCTGAAAGGCCTTTACCCATTTATTTCAAGCAGATGTAAGATAAAGCTTATTTGAAATTTACCTAGCCTTTAGAAAATATAATTATTTGCCAAACCTGATACTAACCCCACTGTCCAAAGCCCCTACTGAGGCATTTTTAAGGGAAAAGATTTATGTTTGCTTATTTTGCCCTTTCCTTCTCGTTTGGGAAACTAAGTCACCAGCAACACTAGGCTTGGGGATAGTCCCACAAGACCAACAGTATGGCAGTCTTACATTCTGGGCAACAAGACATGATCCTTGTTCTAGTTCTAACTCTGCTACTAAATGTTCCTTAGTCCTTTGACCTCTCAAAGCCTGTTTCCTCACTTCTGAAGCGAGGTGGTTGGTTTAGATTAAATAAAAAATGTGACTAAGATATTGCTGAGCCTCATCATGCTAGATACTTCTAGAAATACAAAGATGAAGATGATAGTCCCCGCCTCAAGAAACTGACAATCTAATATGAAAGATAAGGCACATACAAACCCATAATTTATCATAGACCATATAAGCATTATAAAGGATATGTGTTTACTAGTCCTTTATAGGAGTTAATGTTCATTTGATTGATGGTGAATAAAAACCAGGTTAAGAGCTTTATGGAGGAAGAGGTAGGTAGCATTTAATCTACATCTTTCAGGATAAAAGGGAGAGTTTGAAAAAGAGAAAAGTGAGCAAAGATTCAGAGAAAGAAAGAGATGGTCAAAGGGCAAGGCCTGAACATATGATAAGGACAGGAACTCAGGGAAAGTATTTGGAAAATGAAAAATAGTCCACTTTTGGTAGATTGTATGGGAATAATAAAACATAAAGCTGAGAAAGTTGAGGTCAGACTGTTTTTGAATTGGTAAATGGCAAAACCAGTCCTATGCTTAAAGAGGATTAATATGGCAATGGTGGGTAGAAGTAAATACTAAAAGGAGAATAGAGGCAGAAGGCCTGTTAAGAGGTTACTGCAACAGACTAGGTGGGTGGCAATGAAGGCCCGAGCCAGGATAGCTGCAGTGGAAACAGAGAACCCAGTAATCATAATTTTAAGCCAGCACTGTAAATTGCCACTAACCCAATCATCTAAGGTAAGAAACAGGCCATGGCAGGTGAAAATTATTAAAAAGGAGATCTAATTTGAATAAAGCTTTCCTGACAGAATGAAGAACAAGTGAGGCCATACCCATGTTGAGTTTAGAATTGTCACCACCCTTCAGGCCTTATACTCTCACCAAGGCACACTCAGCCAACTGTGGAAAAGAAATATACACAGGAGTCTCAAGAAACATATTATCAATACAGTATTTATTTGTCTTCCCTCTGTCAAACCCTGAGCAAACCACTTTCCCCAGGCTGCCTGGGGAGGTAAAGGAAAAGGAACATACAGGGCAGACAAGACATGGGAGAAAGAACTATGGGAGGTTGGGAGGTGGAGACAGCTCCTTCACATGGCGAAGAGGATGAGAAAGGCCACCATCAGGCAAAAGAGCCCCATGGCCTCTGAGAGGGCAAAGCCCAAAATGGCGTAGGAGAAGAGCTGTTGCTTCAGAGAAGGGTTCCTGGGAGAAGGGGAAGAAAAAAGATAATTTCTAGTCCACACAAAGAAAAGAACAAACATCAAAGGTGGATTCAGGGACAATTCATCCCCTAAAGCTCATCTTATGTAATGAGTCTCTCAGGGTGACACCATCATGCCCAAAGTCTTGCCCCAACACATCAAGGGCCCTTCAGAGACTAAATGAGGGGAGCGGACAATCCAAAATTGTAGAACTTGGTCCAGGCACAAACCTAACCACCTGTAATGGGTCACCCATATCACTGTCAAAACTTAAGACCTCTGGGCCTGGACACTTACCTATCCAAGGCCCAACCAGGATGGAAGAGGCATCTGGAGTGGCAAGACCTATCATAGTGCTTTCAAACTTAAAGCAGCAGAACCCCCAAATAGGAAATATATAAAAGCCAGAATGCAATAATAAAAAAAAGTGGGTTTTGTAAAAGTTTGTTTGACTGTTCTCCCCTTCATTCTCTAAGACAGTCTCTGGGGTGTACCCTCAGAACCCTATTGCTTTAAGAACACAATTAGAAAAACACCGTTCTAGGGGACAAGGGAGTTAGAGGGAATCACTACCTTCTCTCATTTCAAAACAGTTAAAAGATTATGGACTTTAAGAAGCTACAAATAGCCCTGGCCGGTTTGGCTCAGCGGTTAGAGCATCGGCCTGCGGTCCAGAGAGACCAGGGTTCGGTTCCCGCTAAGTGCATGTACCTCGGTTGCAGTTTGTCCCTGGCCCTGGTCAGTCGTGCGGGTGGCAGCCACTCGATGTGTTCCTTTCATGTCGATGTTTCTCTCTCTTCTCTCTCTGTTCCTCTCTCTCCCTCCCACTCTATCTGAACAAAAAATGGAAAAATGTCCTCGGGTGAGGATAAAAAACAAACAAAACAAAAAAAGAAGCTACAAATAGCCTATGGAGTTTAGATGATATGAATCAAAATGGGGTCAAGAACTCCCAACTCTGAAAGCCAACATATAATTTCTGTTTCCCTTACTCTGTCACCCCTGGAAGCCTTCATGGATAAGGTAAAGCAACACAAGCTTTTAACAGAATTTTGGACATAGAAGCAAATTTGTATATTTGCACTGTCCAGTCCAGTAGCCACTAGTCACATGTGGCTACTGAGCACTTGAAATATGGCCAGTGTGACCAAGAAACCAAAAACTTAAACTTGGTGTACTTTTTTTTGAAAGAGAGAGAGAGAGGGAGAAAGGTTAAGAGAAACATCAATCAGCTGCCTCCTACAAAATCCCCAGTGGGGGAATTGAGCCCGCAACCTGGGCATGTACCCTGACCAGGAATTGAACCAATAATCTTTTGGTGCATGGGATGATGCTCAACCAACTGAGCCACACTGGCCAGGGCAAACTTGGTATTCACTAAAATTTCAATTCAAATAGCCACATGTGGCTACTGGCTACTGTATAGGATAGTACAGCTCTAGATCCCCAAATATTTCTATCCAAACCTTTCGAAAGCATATCAGAGAGCCAACAGAGGGCCCATCTTACCTGGCATAACCAATGATGAGGCTCCCAAACACAGTCCCAATTCCAGCCCCAGAGCCTGCCACCCCTACTGTGGCAGCCCCAGCCCCAATGAACTTGGCTGCTGTGTCGATGTCTCTTGAAATGGTGCTGGTTTGGATGCTGCGGCTAGAAATAAGTGAGGTCAGGGAACGTGGGGCTGCCAAACTGCTGAGGCTCTGTGAAGAGGAAGCATATCGGAAGTAAAGTTTTTAGGAAACCTCTTTTTATTTTGGAAACTTTTGTACCATTTAAACACTTTATGCTGTCAAATCCCATGGGTTTTTTTCCCCCCAAAAATCTTTTCACTTTCTGGAAAACTGCCTAAAATACTGCCAGGAAGAACTTTTTAATGCAAGAGGTGAACTTCAAATACCTTTAATATTCAAGTATGTTCTCTAAGTGTTAAGACCAAAACCCTAGCCTGTGCTTGGTGCCCCAAAGAGATCATCTTTCTGGGACTAAATGTTCTCAACTAAAGTTAGTAAATTAGGCCAAGTAATGGCAGTCATCAGCAGCACACATGGGCATGTGCTACCAGTGCGAGAGCTGGAACACCAGAGCATGTATGCTATCAACCGTTCTGCATCTCCACCTAAAGACAATGGCCTTGATCCTTCACTAATTTTCCTCTGTGATGACTGCCCCCAACACTCCCCCTACTGGTTTTTCTAGGTAAACCTTCCCCACCCTCCCCACCAAACCACAGGCCCAATTCTACCTATAAGGTACCTCATCTGTCAGTGTCTCTGGTCCTTTCAGCACCACTGCAGACAGTGACCGGCTCAGCTGAGAGGTGCTCCTGACCTAGCAGGAATGACACAAAGGCAAGCAGGTCAAGGAAGGCTGTGGAGAGGAGTTTCAGAACCACCCTAAGTTGTTATTTGAAGCCCCTTTCATTCTCTCAAACTTAAATCAGAAACTTGGATCATTCTTTTACTTTTAGCAAATACTTGGTTCAAGACCCTCACCTTTTCTCTTGCTTCCCAGGCTTCTCCTTTGCTTTAAGAGAAGGAAGTCTACTTCCTTTGGGGTTACCCTTTCATAGGCCTTGAGAATGGGAAAAAATATAAGCCTTAGAAGCATTTGCTTCACTCAGTAAGAGATTTATGTTGGTACTGACTAGCCCACAAGAAGGAAGCCAATGACTGGAGTATCATTCCCTAAATGATGTATCTGCCTTCTGAAGACAGGCACAAAGATCCATGCTCTAAATTCACCACCTTCTGGTAACTTTTTCTGGCTAACCCCAAGCCAGTATCTCCAAGGCAGAAAAAAATGGTGGTTGATAGCCAGGGCTTTAATGAGATAGATCTAGATTCATCTTAACTGTGTGACCCTAGGACAAGTCCCTTAAATCTTTCTAAGCCTGTTTTCTCATCTTCAAATGGGAATAATATATCTCAGGGTTGACTTGAGGAGTAAATGAGATTATGTATACAAACTGGTAAACCCAGTGTCAGGCATAGTAAGTGCTCAATAAATGGTACCCACCAACAGCATCACTCTTTTTTCTCTACAGATGGATGAACCAATTGCTTCCACCATTAAATAATTTATAATTTCTCCTATGCTGGTGCTTCTGAGTCAAAGATTTTTCCAATGTGTATTTACGCATATGTTAGCTTCCCACCCAAATTTAAGCTCCCAGAGGGGACTCTTAACTATGGCTCTCCGACATTCAGGACAAAATCCTGACCACAGTGCATACTCAATCCAAGTTAGGCAATCTACTTCATGTTTACCATTTCTGGCAGGATTACAATTTACAGAAAGTTTTACGGTAGAAATAACCTGATCTTAGTCTGGACTCTCATTTATACTCTTCTTCTAAGATTGTTGGACGAGAACAATTCATTGGCTTCCAAAGGATATGGGGCAGGTAAGCATTCATATGCTTACCTGTCAGGCTAGCACAGTAAAGGATCTTCTCCCAGCCCAACTGTGAAGAACAAGGTGCTGCAAGGAAGAGACAAGATGCCCCTCCTTTAAACTCCTAGAAAAGGCAGGTACTCACCAAGGAGGGAGTGGAGACAAACTTGGCGCAGGCATACATTTTCAGGGTATGAGGGAAGCTGGAATTATAGAAGGAGCATTGTAAACGCTGTCCTTGCTCACCAATGGACATTTTTATTAGCAGAATAGGGGCTCTGGAAAATTTAATGGCCCAGAGAGCAGAGTGACTGACCTCAAGTCTTAGTAGAGATGGAATTAGAACCATGAAGTCAAGATTTCCTTATAATCAAGTAACTTCCCCTGGTCTGAGCAAGTAGCCACCTGGTCCCAGTTTCAAGACCCATTATTAATTTCCATAGCCTCGTGAGTTGGGGTTGTCACAGGAATTTCCTCAGTGTCCTTTGCCTAAGTTTTCCTCAGTTTTTATTCAAAAGAAACTTGCCAACCAGTGTGGCTCAGTGTTTGAGCATCATCCCATGCACCAGGATGTCGCTGGTTCAATTCCTGGTCAGGGCACATGCCCAGGTTGTGGGCCTGATCTGGGAGTGGGGGTGCACGCGTACAGGAGGCAGCCAATCGATTCTCTCTCTCATCAGTTTCTATCTCACTCCCTTCCTCTCTAATATCAATGAAGGGGGAAAAAAAGAAACCCTTTTCAAGACCTCATTGTCTGAGCCTAAAAAAGTTGCCCTTCAAAGACTCTTGGGAGTTATTTGTAGAAGGCCAAGACACTAGAAGAGTCTCCAACAATCTTTTTACTTAATTAACTTTAAGCATTTAATTCTCATTTCCTACATCAATTAGCAGGGTGAGGAAGATCAATGAGGAACTTTGCCATTACTCTAGTTAGCAACAATTGTTAAAGTACTCACTTTCACCACCACAGTAAAGGGGCTTCAACTTTGTATCCCCAAGATCTAAAACAATGCTGACATTCAGTTCTACGTTGGTAGAACTGAACTTATCTGAGAGGAGTAGGTGAGTTAAACATGGTTTTTCCAAGTGAAGTGAGAGGCCCACCTGAACTAGAGTATCTAGGGGTAAGGATGATGTATGTATTAAAAATGCATATTCTTGCTCTGGCTGGTTTGGCTCAATGGTTAAGAGTATCTGCCCACAGTCCAAAAGGTGGAGGTTTCAATTCCAGTCAAGGGCATGTACCTGGGTTGCAGGTTTGACCCCTGGTCGTGCAGCAGGCAACCAATCAATGTCTCTCTCTCACATTGATGTTTCTCTCTGCTGCCTCTCTCTCCCCCCCCTCCCTTCCACTCTCTGAAAATCAATGGAAAAATATCCTCAGGCGAGGATTAACAACAAAAAAAGCATATTCTTGGGTATCACCTTAGACCTTCCTGGTCAAGATCTCTGGGGTTAAGGCCCAAGCACTCTGTATTTCACAGAAGTTTCCAAAATGATTCTTAGCCATACTGACACACTGAAGGCACCATCCTAAACCAGTCTTGAGATTGTGGTAGTGGTAAAGCCAGGACTTGAACTCTTCTCACTCATAGGTGAATGCTTTCTAACATGCTAAGAGTTAAAAAAGTCACTGATTAGTTAAGCCTGTTAAATGACACTTCCTTAAATAAGCTGGACTCATATTTTCCTAGGTTACACTTCTGAATCCAGAATCTTAAATTAATCTGAACTCTTATCCTGTCCAGAACTCTGATTTCTGCCCATATTTAACTCTAACCCAACTTTGTACTGAACTATTCAAGTTTTCTTGTGTCAAAATCCAAAATCTGTTTAAAGCTTTGAAAAATTTTTTCCCAAGGAACTAAACCTCAGTATCATTTGTAAAATGTAGTTCTTAGGGGGATTAAATAAAACAACTTATGTAAAGAGCTTAACCTGGTGCTGGCACATATTAAGACCACAACCAAGGGAGGCAATTAAGGGAGCCTGCAGGAAGTGCAGATTGCTCCACTGCTGCCCTGGCCGCTTTGGCTCAGCCGTTGGAGTGTCGGCCTGTGGACTAGGAACGTACCAAACAAACAAACAAAAAACGAGTAAGACAGACTGCTCCATTGCCCACCTAACCTTGGCAAGTCTGCAATTGTTGGTCTACAACACCTCAGGCTATGGCACCATCCAGAATCAGAGGACCTAAATCATCATGGGTTTCTTCCTCCATAGAGATCAGTCACTGAGTTACAGGGCTGCTGACTTAACCATTCCCTCCCTTAAACGTTCTTTTTCCTCTTGAGGGCAGAGTCTGGGTGCTCTCAGTAAACCTTTAACGAAAGCTGGCAGGTGCAGATTATCCCATGCAGGTTCCACCCTACCCTTTTGGTCCTGCTGCCCCTAACAGAAAACCTCACTATTAGTCTGCCACTTGTTTTTTCTCCAACTTTACCGGAGTGAAAGGAAGAGAACGGTACTGGGAGGCAACCAAAGGTTCCAAAGAAACCAGCCTCTTTTCTGCAATAGCTCTCCAAGATTAGAGAGTGTTCTGAAGGTAGTGTTCTGTTCACTTCTACCACGTTCATGTTTTTTTTTTTTTTTAATTGAGGGGGTGCTAACTAGAGGGGTTGGTTGCTTTAGATGATCCACTATCTCCATTGCTGGGCACCTGAGGTCCTTAAGTCTGGAGGTTTCAGGATAAGGAAGACATGGAGCCAGGATGAGAGAAGAAAGCCGAGACAGGAGGGGAGAATCTGGGGGTTGTGATAACTCTGAAAGGGCAAGAGGGTAAGAAAAGAGCGTTTGTAAGGGCTAAGTCAGAACAGTTCGTGAAATGAGCACTCTGGCATCTGACTTTCGCCAGCTCCAAGGCGCCCTCCCCCAACGAGTCATCCAAGATGGCGCCAGGCCTGCGCGGTTGGAGGTCAACCACACGCGGAAAAAGCAGACCTTAAGGCGCGGGGATACCGGGGAAGGGAAGGGCGTGAGGCCCAGGGTGGGAGCATGCAAGGCAAGGGACTCAAAGCATTCGCGCGAGGGACTGTATCCCACGCGCCTGCGCGGCGCAAAGCGGGCGCGAGGGCCCAAGCCTTACCTGCTCCCAGTGCAGAGAAGACAGAGAGGGGAGGGGGGGGGGGGCAGAATAGCGAAAGGAAGGCTTGGCGCATGCGCGACCCGGATCAACGATTCGCTCCGCCAAAGATAGAATGATTGCAATGTTGTGGCGGCCCGGGAGCCACAGCGCCGCCTGCCACCTCTGTGGCGACATGCGGCCAGTCGCTCCACCTGGCGTTGGAGAGGAGAAACTGCAGGCGGAGCAAATCTGCAGAAATGAGGACACCAGCACAGTGTAAGCCAACCCGTAATGTGGCCTGCAGTATGGTCTGCACAACTTTTGGGATCTTAGACTCGGGTCCCCTTCCCGAGCATGCGCAGTCACATTAAAAAAACAACAACAATTCTACCCAGAAATTCACTGTTAAATAGCATACAATCGGGATTGGAGTTTAGTGCCCAAAATGTAGCCGAAGGAAAATGAAGACGGGATTCCTGCGTTCTCTGTACCCTGGAATCCTGGCTTTATGGATGGGAAACCTATTCAATGGAGGAATCGTCAGCAAAACACCCCAGCTTCCACTGGTGGCTTTGCCCCTCTCTCTCTCTCTCTCTCTCTCTCTCTCTCATTCCAGTGATCAGCCATGCGGAAACTAGCATCAGCAAACCGGAAGATAAGGGCTAATGGTGACTGGGACTCAAGCACCCTGACCCAAAGTCTTGAGACATGCAAAGAGTAACGGGTACCAGTGACCTGGAGTGAGGCTGCAAACTCACCCCAGACATGTCCATGTCCCTGCCCAGGCTTCATCTACTCGAGCTGAGATAAGCAGACTTCCAATTAGGTGCTCCTATGAAATACCCCTCAGCTTTTCCCTCGTCCTGTCCTTCCACCCTGTAAGGAAGAGGGGGGTTTCCCAACCTTCACTGATTCTTCTAGGCCCCTGTCTCCAAGACTGGGTCTGACCAGCCCCTTTGGAAGAAGAGGGTGGCAAGGCCTACCTAGTTCCCCTCATGTCCAAACCCCGGCCGTCCAGGCATCGTGCTTACACGCAGCATGAGAAAGACGGGAAACGCTCACCAAACCCCCATAAAAAAATAAAAAAATAAAAAGAAAGCTGCGGCTGTAAATAAAGCCAAATCCACCGGCCTCTGAGGGGCCGTTTGTCCTCCCCTCCTTGGCCTCGTCCTTCCCGCCGCCCCCTCCCGGTTCCCGGGCCCCGCGGCGCCCCGGCCCCGAGCTCCTCCATTTAATCGGATTTGGGAGAAGGGGAGGATAAATCACGGCAGCAGCTTTACGGTCCCGGAGGAGAGGCGAGCCGCAGCCAGGCACACCCCGGCCGGCGATAAAAACCGCCGCTGAAAGCCCACGGAGCAATTTCCCGGGACCCCGAGCGACGCCATTACAGGAATGTAATTTTGCCCGGATGAGGCCCCGAGTTTAATTATCCTCGCGGAGGAATTTCAATGTGGCCAATCCATCTTGCAGGCGGGCGGCAGAGGGATTTATATGGGCCCGTTATTTCACACCGATCCTCCATCTGCATTTTTATGGCCCTGAGCTCCTAAAAGGAGGGGAAGGAGTAGGGAGGAATCGGAGAAGCGGGCGAAGAGGGAATGGTGGGGGAACTTCCCACCCTTCCTAAATCCACGATTTCGGCTCGATGAGGATTCTCACTGGTTCCCCTGAAAGTCCCAAACCTCCCTCCAGTGCCAGTAGTTGTCTTGAGGCAGGAAGGTTAGTTAGGAATGAAGCTGAGAGCCCTGGGAATTAATCAACAGGTATTTACCAAGTACCAGAGCAGGGCCAGGCACTGTGTCATATGCTATGAGAAGAGCGAAAGAAGACAGGCTGGCAAGGATATCCCCTCAAGTTCCAGACACCCCACTCCGCCCATACTGAATTCTTTTTAGCTCTCAGCTTTACATCCTTCCAGGCAAAAAGTCCACAGTTCTTAGGACCGCTACCACCAAACGTTTTTGCAGCTGT